TTATACTACCTCCAAACCTTCAGGGAGTTTACAGAACGCAAAGGATAGGAGATGAGGAAGATACAGAGATGAGATGAGCCTGTTAGGGACAGACACAACAAAGACAGAGCAAAATGAAGAAATACAAAAATGAATGATACAGCTTTATACATACAGATTTACACATTTTATCATGGGTGCAAGGAAATATGAAAAAAATATATCAAATGAAAATGTTTTTAAATACAAGTTATTTTTTATTGATATAAAAATCTGTGGGTAATATGTTTTGATTAAAATACATACATTTGAAAAGAATATAAAGAAACACAGTACTAGATAGTTTAAGCTAGTATTAACTGACAGTGGGCCTGCCTGCACTGCAAGGAAAGCAGGAGCAACCCATATGGTCCAAAATAACCACTGGTAGAAATCTGTTATATATGTAGCATTCACTGTGACCGGCTCCTAAAATGAAGGTCACATACCTAGAAATGCCTTTCTTCCTTTTCAGGGGGCTCCAAGTAATGCCCCTCTGTCTCTATATAGTAGCACTGACATCATCTAAATTTCACATGCTGTAAGCTAGGACTGACATAAATGCTTGACCTAATGCTTAAAAGAGATAAGGAAACGGAGTAGAGTGAAAAACACCATTGGAGAACTGGTAATGTAGACTTACATGGATGCGAAACCATACTCTTCTTAATCAGATACCAAGCACAGACTTATACAACTGTGTATGCTCATGTTCACATAAACGATGAAGTCCAAATTAATCAACCAAAATAACTTGAATAATGCTTGAAAAAGAACCTGTCAAAGTAAATTGTTCCAGCAACTTGTTCAGTTAATTCTGAAGACCCTTAATTTAACATGCCACTGATTTCTTCAAACTCTCTGGCAGTTCAATAAACAACAATTTAGAATTTCAAAATTTCTCAAAATCAAACACGATGTGTGGTATAACAGAGTTTTTGCACTAATAAAGAGTTTGTTCAGATGCCAAAGAAGCAGCAGCAGTTATAGTTGGCATGTATATGGAACAGAAAACATGCAAAAGATCATGCTATTATGGATAAAGAACACTTCAACAATGTGCATGGAAACTCAGTTTATAAGTCATTAATCCTCATTAATGACTTGATCATTAATCCATAACTCCTCTCCTCTCATTTCTTCAACTTTAATCAGTAAAAGTTCTGCTAGATCCCATGACATATGTATACACACAAGTACTCTGAAACCTATATTAAAAATGAAATAGCTAATTAAAAAAATGGAAATGTGTGCATCATGAAAATTTCTTTTCTTAGCTTAAATTTCATTGAATATGCTACTTTCTCATGCTTCACATACTTAAATTCTGAATTGTAGAACATTTTAGAGAAGTGGAAAGACTTGCGAAATTATTTTAGCATTCCTGTGGTACTAGTAGAAAAGTGTTGTAAATTTGCAATTGTCTTTGGCTTTTCGGATACCAGAGTAAAAACCCTATTAATTCCCATAAAAATAGGTTAAATTGCTTTTCAAGTCAAACTTTTTATGGGTTTAATAATGACAAAGATTCCTACTTTTAACCTACCTTTTAGAGTACTTATGCTAAAATTACTGCAACCCTCTATTTGGGGTATTTGGTGTCAAATTAGACTTGAAAAGAAATATATTTTTGCTGCTCTTATGCCAAATTTGACTGTCACTTTTTATTGGAACATCAAAAGCAGGCTTTTAATTCTCACAGTTTTGATGCTTAATGAAAAAGTGAAAGTTAAACACAGCATGGTAGCATTAAAAATGCATGGTAAATGCATAGCACTCTGACATCTTACCCTTGCAGAGGATGTGAAGAAAAGCCATTGTAAACAAAAGATAATACTACTAAATACAAAGCAAATTAACTAGATGGTCTGACACACTCTTTAAGGAGGAAAAAAAAAAAAAAAAAAATGGAGGGAGTACATATGTACAATCATCTTCCAGCAAACATATCACAGTGGACTGACAGCAGCACAAGCACGTATGGAATTTAAGATTATGTCTTCATTTCAGACTTCATTCTTGAATGTCTGAAAATGAAGACACTGATAAACTACCATGTGTAAGGAACTTGGATAAAGAAGGGGTTTTGCACCTTCAGCTGCGCCACACAGTCTACATGGCATCTCCTCTGAATCATTTATTTCACAAAGTACAGGCTACTGAGGACTGTTATCAGTTAACCTGTCAATACTAAAAATAAAATTAACCAAACTGAGAATCTCCTTACAGCCAGAAACAGTAACTTACTCTGAACTCATCTGAACGTGGAAAAATTAAGTGGTCCTTCTTAAGGGTAAACGCATCTCTGGGCTGTATGTTCATCAGTATTCTCTCTACATCTTTAATAATAAGGAGAGGGAACAGTACCACTACTATTGACAATGCACGAAACATTTTCTGTTGAACATACATTCTATGCAATATTTGTGCACAAATGGGTATAAATAGCAAAGTTCCTGAAAGATGAGCATCTCAGCATAACGTCTGCATAATTTACATGCCATTTATTGTGGTAGGTTACCCAAGCCAGAGAAATAATTAGCAACGTGCCAGAAGAGGCAGCAGTCCACGTGCTTCCCATCCCTTTACTCCTGGAGCATTATGGTAATAGTTGCCTTTAAAGCCCATGAGATGTTTATCTGCTGTTGTCTTGAAGAGAAAAAAGATTATGTCTCTTTGGAAAACCAAAAATTTAGACTGAAGATTTATTCTGTACTAAAATTAGCATAATGTTTACAACTCAGATAACAAAATAAGATTACAAATTTTTAATAGGTCAATCGATAAAAGAGAGAAACTTAAAATAAATCAGCCCTTCTTTGTTTTATTGTAGGGTCATTGTCTATTTTGAAGAGGTCAATACAAGCGAGTCCCTAATTTGCAGTAGCATTTATGGAATGCAAGCAGAAGAGCAGCGCTTCAAACTGATTAAGAGACATCTGTATCCAAAAAGACCCTTTTTGAAAAGTTCTACTGTAATTTAGATAAAAGGCTGAATTATCTTGTATAAATGTTCCTACAATCATTTAGATTTGTTTTGTTGTGTTTTTTTTTTTTTTTAAATCTTAATGTAAATAACATAAAATAAGCAGGTGATTTTTTGAATCAGGAGTTCTGACAGACCTATACAAAAGCACATGAACAGGAATTGTAGTTTTTCATCTTGCAAATCAAGATAAACAAATGAAAAGCTGTTATAATATGCCTCCCTACTTACAGAATCACGTAATTGTTGAGTATATGGAACTAGTTTTTTTAACATGCTACCCTGCTTCTGATCAGCATCTACTTCTTTGAGAATTAAATAGAGATACTAAGGTTCACACACACACACACACACACACACACACACAAAAAGTAGGTAAAATTGAGAAGTTTCTGGAGTGAATTGCTGCATCAGTTCCACTAATATATAGAGAGAGTTAGTGAAATTCAGCTTATGATATTTTCACAGTTTGACCTGAGGGGTCTTTTGAAGGAGATCTATTGCATACTTTTATATAAAAATTACTACAGAAAGTTTGAGGATTGCAAGCTTCCGTCTTTCCTCCCATGGATTATGAGAAATAGGATTGCATTTCTTTACAGTTATTACTGAATATTTATTTAAGGCCATCAGCAAAAGCTGAATAAAATAAATAGGAAAGTTTTATTTTGAAAGTTGCATTAAAGATGGATAATCATCCAACATAGTTTTACTACTTTTGTGCATACATACATACATACATACAAAAGCTCAGATCTTAAAAAAAAAAATAAAAAATTCTCTTACTCTTGAAATGATATTTTGACATGATTAGTATGATTCTATATAATATCCTCTTCAGATGAAATTGTACATTTCCTTTTAGGTCTTAAAACATTCCTCAGGGAAGCAGATAAATTTAGAAGTACCTATTAGAACTTTACACAGCAGCAAGTGAAACCAGTAAACTGTCCCTGAAACCAAAGGTAATCTTATCTCTGTATAGACAGCCCCAGGTCTCCAGACCAAAACTCATTACAATACTCTCAGTCTCCTTCCATCCTACACCTCACAGCATACACATTCCTCTTCCACCCTGCAACTTCTCTGTGCTGTGGCTGCTTCCTCATCCTCCCCTTCCTCCCCCAACCCCCAAGGTGGCAGGTGAGCTCAGTACAGTCCTGAACAGAGACACAGCAGGATGGACTAAAACTTCACTATAACCAAGGCAATTTCTGGAATAAGAGTCACTAATTACCATCCAGTGGTGCTCAGACTAAAATGTCCTGGGTATTGTGATTATACTGCAAATGGAGGCTCAGTAATTCTGTAGTGCATAATGCCAGTGAGTTATTTGTAAATATCTGCAAGTTCCATTAGACGTGCCTGTTTTTACATAAATAAGAGGCAATAAGAAAATATTTTCACTACAGTATAACAATAAGCTTATAAGGGCTTCTATAAAAATAAAAAAGTGAATATTTTCCTGTCAAACCACTCTGCAGACTTGCTCATTCACTTTCACAAGCATAATTTTCCAATTACTGATTTTCTGAAAGAATTATGTACAGCTCATGTTCTCTCCCCAACAGTGTCTTGAAAATAATTTGCTCAATTTAACCCCACAAAGTCAACTATGAAATTTGAAATGCTCTGCATACAGTGTCAAGCATGTACTCAAGCAGTCCTGCACTGGGAACGACATCTCACGCCAATTACATAGGACAGAATGACACACTGACAAAGCTAACCTGCCTGCAACACTTGAGCTAGTTCTGCTGGACATCTCTGCACGGCACTGAGTTGTTCCAGATAGTTGAATTTCAAAGTTAAACTAGTGTGTTTAATGTATAAGAGGAACCACTCTCGCATATAAAAGGTTCTATTTTTAGACAGGAACTTCTCAGAGCATAATCAATGAAGTTCAAACTCTGGCTACAAAGCACAAGCAATACTTGTAGATGTTACAGGTAGATGTTACTGAAAGTTCAAAATGCAAAATAAATTAATACATTACCATTTTTATCCATGGAATGTGGCTCAGATTGCTTCTTTCCAATATCAGCAAAGGATCTCACAATCGGGATCCTATTGCTCAGTTTCTTCTGGTTCTGATGGTGATGCTGTTTCAGTAATGCCTCATGCACTCTATGACGAACATCCTCACTGAGCTGCCCAGAGCCCACCTGCTGGTCCAGAATCATATCTGAAAAAAAAAAAAACAACAACAACAACAACAAAAAAAGTATGTAAACAACAAAAGAGGGGAAAGAGAAAAAAACTTAATTTCAGAAAAGTTGTAATAACAAGTTAGTACCCAACAGGATTATAAACCAAAGATATCTGTTCCTTTAGCACAATAAAATTCAATGGTACGTTTTATCTAGATGTGTTTCACCCTCAGAAAAAAAAATAAAAGAAGGTATTAACATAACAAGGTCAGTAGCTCAAAAATGTTGGAAGTTCCCATGCCAAGATCACCTATGTAGCTTGGAAATCATTTCCAAAGCATTCCTATACATAATACCTTTAAACCCAGGATTATGATGTATATAAGGTATCCTCTCCTACAAAAAACAGTACCTTATTTGCTACAAAGAACTGTCTTGTGAGAAGAAATAATTTTTGGATTCCTTTCATACTTACCACAGAAGATCATAAAAAGCCCTGCTTTTTACAACTACATTATTTTTAGTATAGTTTGTTTTCTTTTTTTTTTTTTAATGAGATAAGATACAGGAAATAACCAATAGAATCTATTACCCAATACATATGTCCATGCAACAGTATTGCTATATGGATGTGTCAGTACAATTGATCTCTATCCTAAAAAAAAATCAGTCACTTTTGCAGTCCACTGGCAGAAAATGTTCACATACTTACATTCAAATATATTAAGAGATAAATTATACATTTCAAATGGGAAAGAACTGTTGAGAATTTTGTAGGAATATTTTAGTGATTATTTAGGGGAATTCTATTAGAAGAGTAATAATGCATAACAGAAGGAAAGGGAAAAAAATAACAATCTGTATAAAAGCAAGTAAAACAGCATTTAAGTACACAATGTCCTTGCATATCCATTAGAAGAAACTGCTGCACAAGAACAGTGATATAATAAGCTGAGTCAAAAACTTCTTGTACTGAAAATTCAGACAGCTCGCAAGTCTGTGCTGGAGTCAGATTGATATCTACCAGTAAACCCAGCAGCAAAGCAAGCAGAGCGAAGAAAATAGAAAACAGATGCACAATCAGTAGAAACATAATTTGTCAGGTCTGTGATAATTGCCAACCACAAGAGAGAGAATAAAAAGCATTAAATAATTATATGCAGTTTAATTACTAAGTCAACTACCCACATCCACATTAAAAAAATAATAATAATCATTTTTATGAAGTTCTCAGCATCCACATAAAAATTCAGTGTGTTAAACGTAGCTACTTTGAGAGGAGAACTACAACTTCACTTAACATGAAGAGGCTCCCAACAGCTCTTTATGTCAACACACACAAAAAGACATGGCTAAGTCCATAGAAAATGCATGAGTCAACAGATGCAAACATGAGATGTATCCGCATCTCATCATGAAGAGAGGTACTGACCTGTCTAACATCACCTGTGACTCTCTCTAGCAATTATATTCTACACAGTATTAGCAAATATGTTGACTGAACAGTTCACATTGTAGAGTAACACTACCTGGGTTCTGTGCCTAAACTAATATAGCCTGCCTGAGGAGTTCTTCACCTGGACAGGTAGCTCCGTAATTCCTGTCAAGATTAATTGAGTTTTTCTATTACTCTACACTCTCATGGAAGAGACAGAGGCATAGTAATAAGAGAGCAATAGTCAGAAGAAAGGGTAGCACAAATTCAAGAGAAAGGCTTCAGTAGATTTTCTTCAGAAGGAGCAAGGAATAAGGACAGATTTGCAACACAAGGAAAAAAAGCAATGAAAACACAAGAAAAGTATTCATTTTCCTGTTACTTCCTTTTGAGAAACAGACTCTTATCCTGAAGACTTAAGACTATTCTTTTCCAACAGGCTTTGTACACGAATATGTGCAGTACCAAAACCAGACGAGTAATTCATATGAGATATGAACTTTAGAGGAAAAAATAGATAGTAATCATATAATGTGGGGCATTGGGCTAAGGCACAAAGTAGAAGATCCTAGTCTCCATTCTTTTTAATTCTGGTGACAAAAGACAAATTGTACAAGATGTAAAAGCAAGTATCATCTTGAGTTGCTCTAAAGCAACAAAAGAGCTGAAAAAGGTCTCCTCTTGTACAGTCATATTTAGAGTTGTGATCATCACCTTTCTTACAGATTAGTAGAACTCCACATCTATATTGCCATTCCTGGAATTACAGTGTTTTGCATATTAAATATTAATATCTTTTAAATTTGGAGGCTGATGTTGATATTCAAGATGTTCCACTGAAGGACAGAAAATGCCAGGAAAAAGAGAAAATCATATCCTTATCCTCTTCTTTGCCAGGATGTTCTGTCAAATTCACTAACAGTCAGACAACATCTGTAGGGGGGTAGCGGCGTCCACTAGTATAATGACCAATTATTTGTATTTTCTTCCAAACTGCGAAAGAAGTGGCTTACCTTGAGTTGCCAGTTTTCATAAATTCCTACTTACTTCAGAGTGTCTGCCACATGTGAAAGTGGGAAATGCATTCAGAACTGGGAAGAGTGGAGACTCATTTTCTTACACTGATACTCTCCCAAATTGCCATTCTTTCAATACAAGTCTATTTGCAGTCACAACATAGTTTTAGTGCACTCCTGTATTTTGACCACTCTCTCTCAACCTGAACAGATTTGAATAGTAATAACAAAGGCTGCCCCCATTACTATCTACCATTATTGGATTCCACTTCAGTTTTTTCTTAAGCTTTACAATACATCTTTTAAAAGTCCCAGGATCTGCAATCTTATTGATAGCTCTACTGATTACAAAGGTATGTTTGAAAACAAGAGCAACATGGTTTAAAGTCTGAGACCAAATGGTAAAAAAGAGCATTTTAAATGTATAATTTTCAAAACAGATACTACTTCCTTAATGCTGTGACAAAGATGATACTATGTGATCCCACCAGCTGAAGCTGCATCTATTTTCCAAAGTTGTTTTTTTATAGGCACGTTTGTATGTAGAGCACATAACCATTTCTCCAAATTCCATAAAATAGAGAAAAGACCAATAACCCCACAGCACTGTATCTCACCTATATAAGAGCATCATTATGCAGACTCTGCGGGCTTTCTATGCTAAGCAACAAAGGTGCATAGACTTTTTAAAAACATTTAAAGAATTTTCCACTTGGATGATCTTCTACACCTTGTGGAGCCCTTCAAATCAGGGACACAGATTACTTTTTTATTATTATTTCACAACAGACTTCAACTAGATGCAATGTGTGGAATACCCAGCAACATAGTTTTACTCATTCTATTAATTGCTCACATACCATTTCTACTGACATCAAAATCACTGAAACTGGTTTTCCTCTGTAAGGAATTTTGACTTAATATATTAATATATGTATTTTTAATATTAATATATTAATATATTTTTTAAGCTTCTAAAGACAGATATTCTTCCTGCTCTAGTTGTTTAAAAAAAGATTCAAAAGAAATAGGGGGTTCACACAGTTTCAAAAACACTTTCTCTGTTACAATACTTCATTTACATAAAACATACCCATCTGTAAATTTATTTTCAGGGCAAACTTGAAAAGTTATTGTACTAACTCAAATATAACTCCTCATCACTTGTGAACAATTTACAAAAATTGTGAATTAAAGCATCAGGATTGCAAACTTCAAATTTGTTCAAGTATAGCATGGCTCACCTGTACAAGCCCAGCACAGCAAACCACATCTCATCTATCTCATCCCTAAGGACAGTTAAGACATAAGAGCAGATTGGCTGCTTTCACTCACCACAGAGATGGTTATTAGACACTACAGCTTCCTTGCAGTGGATGCTGTACAAGGACATGCAGCTAGAGCCACGTGGTGTCATCCTAGTTCCAAACAAATACGAGCAAGAAAACACTAGAGTGACAGCTTTCTGTCTGTTTCTCCAGGTTCACAGAATGCCCATCAGGTCACAAGAATACTTCAGGCAGCTCCCAAGTAAAACACACAGTAAATTTATAGAAGAAAGTGCACTTCTTTGGCAATAAAATACCTTTAAAGTCAAACAAGTAGCATCTAATAGAAAAGCTCCACTGGATCTCCCTTCTGCAGCAATGAATAAACGAACAAGATCCGAAGCTCTTACTTTTAAGCAGTATACCAGACACAAAAAAAAACAAGCTTTGAATTCCTGGACCTATATTCTTCTGATATAGGTTGCCATTGGCAGTTTACAACAGGAGAAACTGAATTCTGTGCATCTGTGAGGTTGCTGGTATTTACACCCCTCAATCTTCCAAATTTTATAACTGCAATTGCAGGGCAAAATGAGAGATTAATGACCAAAAAAAAAGAAAAAAGAAAAGAACACATGGGCTTTTCTTTGCATCATGATTGCAATGACAGCTCTCTACAAAATCTAATCTAAAAGCCAAGCTTTGTTTGTTTTGTGCTTGTTTTCTTTCTCTTAAAGATGAGGAGAGGAAACAGCAGCAACCATAAAGCAGTGCCTTATGCAGGACATGCAGATGAAATGATGTCTTTTATCCTAATCTGTCAATAACCTGTACCCCATTACACATTTCCCTAGTGTGTCAGGCACTAAGAGCTATAGAAAGCTAACAATTAAGATTCTTGGGCTGTATTTATGATTCAAGACCTGATTCTGGTGTTTACAACAGTGATTATAAATGAGCTATCTAAGCCAGTGGATTTAGCCTGTTCATCCAAAGAAGTAAAGTGCTCCATTGCACTGAGTGCCAGACTCTATTTTCAGCTCTACCTGAATTTGCTTTATTCAACTTCTCAACTGAATTACTTGAAAAGGAATGAGGGACAGTGACAAATGTCTGCTTTTCAAACTATGAGTCTCCAACTTGAAGAACAAGGACTAGCATGTTCACAAAACATCACACAGAGGTCAAGGCTAATATTTTCAACTTGAAGCTCAGAGAGAAAGAAACGTTATAATGTTAAAACACAGAGCTGTTCTAACATCCCACAGTGGATGCTACCAAAAGAAAACTGCAGGTAGCACAGGACAAGGTATTTC